TTTGTGCATAATGTATATGTATGTATACATGTTATTTTACATTATATTATATATTTTATATATAAATATTATAACATGACATGTATAATTTATATTATATAATATATAAAATAAAAGTTTATATGCATGTTATGTCATTTAATATAAAAATATTATAGATAAGTAATGTTTTATATATGAAAGACATTGGCCCAAAATCAAGTCCGGCTTGGTCCGGGCCTATGTAGACCTAGGCTAGGGCTTATGTTTCAGGCTCAGAACCCCAGGCCAGGCTGGGCCCAGGCCTAAGCTATAACCTTTATCATAAGTGCAAAGCTCGGCCTGTCCCATGATCACCCCTAGTGGGAAGTACGTGAACACTGGTAGAGTAATATCCACATTGTAAATCATGTAGTAGCAAAGAAGGTTGACTAGGTACCTAAAGGAGTTGGGCATAAGTTGGATCGGTTAGACAAGAAACCACCCTGAACATCGTCGTGATGCCCACGCTCAATGGTAACCTCAGCTCGACTATCAGACTGTGCTCATAAATACAAAGTTCACCCAATTGAACCAAAGTGGCCCTTTCACCTATTTTGGGACACCTCAATTCGTACTCCTCGGGAATACAATAAAGGGCTCTAATATGGGTCAGGTCTTAGGGTGTTAACTTGTGGGGAGAAGAAGTGAAGTGGCTACCAAACCACACAAAAGCATTGATCCCCTCTTCGGACACCACCTTTATGTCCACTTCGACCTCCCAAAGGACCTTGACCTCCTCCGTCGCGGTACCCTTGTCCTTAGGCCCCTCGATCTCGGCCCCATGGACGTCAATTTTGCAGGCCATGAGCATGGTGGCCTCGGGATGAAACCTCATCTCGGACTCACTACCCAACGTACAAGAGTCAGACGACAAAGTGGAAGAGCAAGAAGACAAGAAGGAAGATGAAGACATCTTACCGAAGAGTAACACTATAGAACACCTAAAGCACCAGCCAAGGACTAACACTCTCTGAACTCCTATGATTGCTTTCACTCAAAATGACAAAGTGAAATGGCTCGCCACCTCCCTTTATATAGAGGCAACCAACGGTTCAGATCAATCTAGATCAACGATGTAGGATTTCTACTGCACTTTGCATGCTCGTACACCTCGGGAAGATGAAACGACACGTCTACTGACCCATAATAGAAACGACACGAGTGTTGAACCGCCCGATTTGCCCATTAAGTAGGTCTTACCCCAAGTAACCAGCTCAAAGAAACTAGAGTTCCTCAGCCAAGGACCTTAGACTCTTCCGCCTAGCCACAGTCAAGCAAAACACGGATATTCAACTATAAATAGGTATCCCCCACTCGAGGTAAGGGACTTTTTGGAACTCTTCACTCACTTAACACCTCTCTGCACCATCTCTTCTGCTCAAAGCTAGCACGGTCTCAACTTGCTCGTCCTAGACAACCTTTTCACCCTACTAACTTGAGTGTCGGAGTTTCTACCAGGGGAATACTCCTCAGGCCTCTGACTCTTTCTATGATTGCAGATCTCGGTGTGCGGTTTTGTCCTTCCGCCTCGGCCTCATCCAATTGGCAGGACTATCTGACTGCGTCCTCGGTTCGGAACACCTTGGATCAGACAACATCAACTTGGTCTTCTTTACTTTACTTTATTGCTGCTTCTTTTATAAAAGAGCTTCCAACGTAATAAAAGCTTTGTTTCCATAAAAAATGGAGTTTTAGCTAGATGTGTTTCTCTTTTTTAATTAATATTGAAAAAATCATTGTTATTTGATCATCTTTAAAAGTAGGTCCAATTGTCACTATTTAATAATTTTAAAATGTAGATTTTGAGTGTGGCTCCAAAAATTTGATTATGGATTTTGGCAAGGTTTTAAAAACTAGCCTGGAAACAGAACCGCTTTGACCATTGGTTTTTGGGTTAGCGGTCAACCATCTGGGTCGAACGTTTTAACCTACAACATTAAATTTTTGAGAAATAAACCCCATAATTCCCATATTAGATTCATATTCTAATTTATAATTTTTTATCCTAGAATAATGGAATAGAATATAGGGGTAGGGAGAGAGAGAAACGTTAATGACCAAAACCCATAAATCGCTACCTAGGTTGAACGGTTTAGTAGTTCAACTACCCGGGTCAATGTTTTTTTTTATAAAACATTTTTTTCAAAAAAAAGTGGTACAACCCAAAATCGGACCCAAAACTATGACCGGCTCCTAGGTCGAACGGTTTGATCATCTTGTTTAGACTAATTTTTAAAACAATGGTTTTGGGATTAGCTTTTCCATTAGTTTAGAAGTAGTTTTTGCCCATTCTCAAGATGTTTGAGAGGGTCTCATCCAAAATATCCATTTCAAAGAGATATTTTTTTTCTAAAAAAAGTTGCGAGATAGGCTTTAAAATTAGATTTATAAGATTATGAGCACCCCATATTTGGGTGCTCCAATTATTCATGGCATAATTGATAAGAAGGTTTTGAATAACATCCCAATTAAAATTAAGAAGAAAAGTTAGGGTTGGAAATTGAAAACTCTTTTTAAAGATGGAAGAGCTATCCTTATCAAATAAGTTTTGAATGTGGTTCTTCTATTTACAAGGCGCCAACTGGGTAGTTGGCAAGGTCTCTTGGTGCTTGGAATGAAATCCCACCTACACCTGAGTTGGGGGTTATGGGTTTAGGCTTTTAGGGGATGGGCCATCTCTGTTGTGTAGCCCCATGGAGCAAAAAAAAAAAGAAGAAAAAGAAAATGTAATTCCCCTATTTCAAATGTTGTTGAAATGAACATACCCTAAAAAAGATTGATAAAAGTCAAAGTGAGTTCTTTAGAGACTAAAGAGAAGGCACGGGAGCAATTGTAGGACAAGTTAGAAAGTCTTTACAAATTAGTGATTTTATTTTTGGGAAAATTATTAAGTACCCCTAAAGTTCCTAGAAAATCTATAAGAATTATTTTTTCCCCTTTGTGTTAATGCTTTCATATTTGAATTTGAAGGAAAATAAAGTATGTTGTTGATTGTTTAAAATGATATCAAAATAGGACAAATTGAGCCCTTCATTGTTAGCATCTTGTTGAATTGTATAAGAGGACATAAATGAAATTCTTTTATGCATCTTAAATAACTACACAACATGTCTATTTTTTTGTGTTTTGATAACTCACATGTCTAAATAGATATCTATAAATCATAGAACTTAATGAATTGTAATTGAAATTGCATAAAATATTTAGTTGGACAAGTTTAACTACTCTAAGACACTTGGAGCTATGTTTTAATTTGTAGATGAATTACAATTTACTTGTCTATAAGAATTACAATTTACAGTCTTGATTTAAAATACCCCTATCTTTGAAATTGGTCTCTCTCTCTCTCTAGATATCTCTGTGTATTATATAATATATATTATGAACATATAAATTGTAAATTGAATACTATTTTTTATTTCATTCCATTCTCTCTCATTAAGTCTCATATTTAAAGTTAACTTCCATAATCTCTCATTGAATCATATGTTCAAGGTATTTTTGTTTCTTAAGTTGCGTTTGGAAACGATGCAAATAAGTGTGAATGCAATTATGTAGTGTAAAATGATACATATAAATTGCAAAGTTGGGTTAGTTTTGCACTAACAAATTTACCTTCTTACCAAACAAATTTTTAGCTATAATGGATGCAAACATGAATTCCAATAAAGCATATGCCTTTTTTGGCTAAGTTTGGAAAGAGTACAAATACAAATTTGTAGAGTGCAAAACCTTGTATTTTGTATTATTTTGTATTATTTTGTATGTATTTGCATTGTACATATTTGTATTTGTACTCGTTTCAAACTGAGCCTTTACATCTTATTATCAATGTAAATATGCATTGGAAAATGTGTTTTCTGTCATTTGTAAATGCATAAATGTAATGGTGCCAAACACAGGCAAAAGTGAATCAGAGTGCAAATTTACCTTGAACCAGGATTTACACTCCATTTGCATCGTTTCCAAATGCAACCTTAGTATTAAATTGCACTAATTAAATTCACGAATAACAATTTTAATAGTATAAAAGCTTGAATATTGAAAATCAACTTGGAAACAAAACCAGTTTTTAAGTATGATAAATAAGAATAATTTTTATTAATGATAGAAAGAAAATACAAAATTTAAATCTGTGTTAGGAATGAAAGTACTTTCATATTTGTTAAATGATGAAAATGGAATACAAAGATAATGAAAAGAGAAAACTAGTGTCTATTCCATCACCATACTAAATAAATTAAATGATTCAATGGTTTGAATAGCTAGGTCACCATGTTGTTGGCCAAGTCATTAGGTTTTTTAAAGACAAACAATTTGATGAAAAATAAACCTAAAATCTAGGTCAAATAACAATTCAGTTAGTCTAATGGCAATGGTTCACTATAAATTAAAAATATTGGTATAAGCTATAGACTTATAGACTAAGAAGATTTGGTACAAATTTTAAAATTTTTAGATTGAAAGACAATAAATCACCATGTACAATTATTACTGTTGATATCATTTGAAATTTGCACGGCACATTTACTAATTACTAGTATCTGAATACAATGAATCAAATATGGGTGTTGTAAACCGTAAAAAATAAAAAGAATCATAAATCTAGTAGCCAATCAAGTGTTATTTATCAAAATTCATAAATGAGTTTTGATTTGTCAAAACTCTTCCCATACCATATCTTTTTCGCATCGTAGATTTTCCCAGAAAAAATATGAGTGCTGTAGGCGTGTTGGGTAAGCACAATGAGTGATCACGTAATAGCTGTGTGATATATGTACCAGTTAATGTGCTTTTTATCTAAACGTTTTGTTCCATTAGACAAAAATTATCTATTATTTTATTATCTTTATCAAAATAATTAAAAATAAAAATAATAAAAAAGAAAAACCTAATAAATAATTTTTTATCTAACGAACACACAAATTTGAATGAAAAACGCATTAACTGACATATATGTCACACCGGTGCCTACTAGATCCTGACCCGTGCTGTAAGCGTACCTGAACGATCCGCGCGGATTCGGTCCGTTTTCAGCTCTCCAATACTCATACCAAAACCGTACGTCTGAGCTTTGGACTGTTTTCCATATGTTGAGTCTATAACAGTCGAGAAACGAAAGACGTGGGGGGAGCGTAGGCACCATGCACGGCCGACCTCGCAAGCCGCAGAAACCAGTAGATGACGCTTCAATCGCCAAAGCTGCTAAGTTACGCGTTCTCCAAGCTCAGTTTTTTCAGAATCATCACGACAAAATGTAAGCTCCTTTCTGATCTTTCCCGTAAACAAACAGAATCCCCTTTTCAAACCTAATTTCTCTTATACTGTCAAATTCGATTGAGAAAAAGAATGACGGGCAGTTTTTTAGTGATTTTTTAAATCGAGTTTTCCTTCTGATTTGTCTTTTAGATTCTCATATAGTATTATATATTCATATGCATCTTTTCAGCTATGCTAAGGAAGCGCTAGAGATCAGTGCCAAGCTTCTGGAAACAAATCCCGAAGCTTACACTGCCTGGAATTACAGAAAGCTTGCTGTTGAGCATAATCTCCGATCTGAAACCGATCCCGATGCCATTAAAGCAGTTCTTGATGAGGAACTCAGAGTCGTATGTTCCGACCGACCCTCTCATTTGCTGTTGCATTTTCTCTTTGAAATCACTGCTGTATGCATAATAAAATTACAAAACAGGTTTAAACATAGATAATAGAAAGCTAAAAGGATGCAAATGAAGTTATACAAATCAGTTATGAAGGACACAAACCAGGCCTAAATAACCGCTGTGAATTCAGTAAAAATGAAGTGGCTAATAGTCAATACAGAAATTCGAACAATAGGATACAAATCTACCGAAAAATAATGAGATCATAACAGAAACTAAATAACCCAGATAAGAAACGTGTATAAATATATAGATGATAGAGACAATGCTTGAACTAATCCAGAGATGTTTACCAAAGAAAAAAAAATCTAGAGACTACAAACAAGTAAAAGTCTCATTAACTAATAGATTGATAACAAATGCACAAAAACTGGCAGAATCTTGCTAAAGTATCAAACTTAATCCTAGGTTTTCAGAAAAGAGTTTTGAAATATGATTGTATCAAGGATTTACGTGAAATCAGAATGTTAGTTCACAAGCAGAACAAACTAGGTTTCTCTTTAACAGAACACTGAGATAGTGTATCAATCAACCATGTTAAATATGGTAAAACCAAAAGCAAAAATCAGAGAACAACAAAAGAGAAGAGTTTAGGACTTTCCATGTTTGAATAGGATCCTAATCCTGTGGTAGCTTTGTTTCTGAAGTTTGTACATGTAGAAGATTGATGGTGGGCTGCAAGAGCCCTATTGTGAAGCAATATAGATGGCTGATTTGAAATGAGAAACCAGATAGATGGTGTGCAGAACTCCATTTGGTTTTGATGTTGACTACTAATTCATCCAAAGGCCTGATTTTGGAGGTGGGAAGAGATAGAGTAATGGTCTCCCACCTCCGGTTTGCAGATGGCATTTTGGTATTTTTGTGATGGGGAAGATAGAAATGGAGTGGCAAATCTGAAGTTGGTGGTGAGCCTCTTTGAACGAATGTCTAACTTAAAGATCAATTGGAATAAGAGTGCAATGGTTGGTTTAAATGCTGGGGATGAGGAGCTAGACTTGTATGCGGAGATTCTAGGGTGTGAAAGAGGGGAGTGGCCTCTGACATATTTAGGCTTACCCCTTGGTGGCAATCCAAGGTCTATTTTTGGACTCCAGTAGTTGAGAGAATTGAGAAAAGATTAGTTGGGTGGAAAAGGAAGTGCATTTCTCTAGGGGGGCGAATCGCTTTGATAAAAACAACCTTGGCTAACCTCCCTATCTACTTCATGTCTGTCTTTAGGATGCCTCAATCAGTTGTGAAGAGGGTGGAAAAACTGATGAGAGACTTTATGTGGGAACTGGGAGACAGTAAAAAGGACCATTTGGTGAAATGGGAAAAGGTGGTAAAAAGGAAAGAGGAGGGGGGGATTGGGTATAGGTAACATTAGTAAGAAAAACCTTGCTCTTTTAAGTGGTTGTGGCGCTTCCCTTTAGAGAATGACAGATTGCGGCATAAAGTGGTCTCAAGTATTCATGGCCTGGCTAGGAATGGATGGGATGCCGGTATTCTGCAAAGAGCTGACCTTGCTACACTGTGGAAAGCAATGCATGGTATCCTGCTCCCATTTCTTGAGCATGCTAGGTATGATCTGGCTTTTAGTAATAGGATAAGATTCTAGGGAGATGTGTGGGTTGGGGATATTCCTTTGAAAGATATGTTTCCTTCGTTGTATGCTCTCTCTAATCTCAAGGAGAAACTTGTGTCTGACTTTTTTTTGGGGCTTGTGGGAAACCTTTGAGAGTCAGACATTTCATCAGTGTCAAACCTTTTAAATATTCTGGATGGCCTTGTCCTTGATGATATAGGGGATGATAGTAGGGTGTGGTCTCTCAATTCCTTTGGGTCTTTTAACTGTAAATCCTTTTTTTTTTCTTCTCGTGTGTCCACCCCCATTCCCCATTCCTTTCCTGTGAAAGAAATTTGGAGTGCCCCATCCCCCCGAAAGTCAGTGCCTTTTGTTGGGAAGTTTATCAAGGATGAATCAACACATGTGATGTTCTACAAAAGAAAAGGCCAAATTGGTGTCTATCTCCTAACTGGTGCATTTTTGTGTAAGGTGAATGGTAAGAATGATCTCCATCTTCTAATTTCATGTTCCTTTGCTTGTTGTATTTGGGAATGGTTTTGCTGTCTTTTTGGTTGTAGGCGGATCCCTCTTGGAAGCTTGGAAGGTCTCTTTAGTTTATATTTTTTGAGGAGCATGAAGAGAAGAGGTAGAATCCTATGGAAGTGTGCAAGGGCAGTGGTAGTGTGGCTAGCTTGGGAGGAAAGGAACTTAAGAATCTTTGAAGAGAGAGAAAGAAATAAGGAGGCAATAGCAGAGATTGTTATTGTAAGAGCTGCACACTGGGTGAAAACTATGAAAGCATTCTCAGACTTCTCAATGGACGACTTCTTCGGGAATTGGAGGTCAATTGCCCTTTCTTCCACTAGGACACATAAAGTCTTGGAGGCCTGGCACCCCCCAAGTGGAGGGTGGATGAAGCTGAACTTTGATGGAAGTATCTTTGGCAATCCAGGGCCTTCCGGAATTGGTGGCGTGTTTAGAGATGAGAATGGGAATTTATGTGGTTTGTATTCAGGACCTATTGATTAAGGTGACTCGGTGAGAACGGGATTTATGGCTGCTATTGTTGGGGTGCAAAAAGCCAAGGATATGGGAATTACGAGGCTGATTGTTGAAGGGGACTCAAAAATAGTTGTTGGCTGGCTGAAAAAGAGGAGAGGGGGTTCTATGGCAATTCAGAAATGATTTCAGAAGATTCAAGATGATATCGAGAAATATGCAAATCTATGTAAGATGGGTTAGGAGGTCTTCTAATGGGTTGGTGGATGGATTAGCTAAGCAAGGAATTCATAGGCAGTATGGCAATTCAGAAATGATTTCAGAAGATTCAAGATGATATCGAGAAATATGCAAATCTATGTAAGATGGGTTAGGAGGTCTTCTAATGGGTTGGTGGATGGATTAGCTAAGCAAGGAATTCATAGGCAGCATTTGTTTTTGGCGCAATGTTAATCGTGTGGGGGGATTTCTGATGTAAAGGGTCTTTGCCCTAACAACTTCTTGCTGTACATTTTTGTTCTTTAATCTTAATAAAATTTCTTGAGTTTCTCATCAAAAAGAAAAAAAAAAGGAAATAGAGAAAGAAATAAGAGGGAGAGACATGGTTCGCAATATCGATGATATTGGCAATATATCCCTGAATATCCCCATTTTGCTAAGTGGGGATACAAAATTTTCTAGGAATCTTTTTTTTCCCAAATATCTCTGAAAATTTTCTGATATGTCAGTGATATTTCAGAATATTATGCCATTTCCAATAAAAAAATTTAGAATATTATTAAAAGCTTTTCAATGTTTCGTTAAAATCATCGTAAATTTTTAAAAATATTTTCCTAAAAGATTGGGAATTGGTGATTGAATAATTGGTTTACTATTTTAATATTATTTACTTACCAAGTCACTATAATTCAAAAGAAAATGTAAAATGCACATAACTACAAAAGAATATTCTCAAATTGGTCAAAACATATAGTAACAAGAAAAGAAATAAAGTAAAAAAAAATGGCAAGTAATTGACATATTTAATGAAGAGAAGATAGCTAAAAGACTAAAACGGAGACAAAGAGAAAGATACCAATAAAGTCTCAATTTTGTCCTATTCGATTTATATAGTTCTTTGCTATGGTTTTTTGAGCCTTAAAGGTTTAATAATTAATTCATGTTTCTAGAAATCTTTCCTACTTTTTTAGGTTTTCTAAATATCTTAGCGAAATATCTCTGAAGTTCTCCTTCTCTACATCGAAAAATATCCATTGATATTGAAATTGCAAACCATGGGGAGAGAGGAGAAAAAAGGGTGGGGCCCGGGGGAGAAAAAGAAAATAATAAAAAGAGGTTATATACTTACGATTGTCTATTGCTTTATGGATGATACTTTTGTTTTTTCTTTTGTTACATATGAATAAAATAGGTGGAGAGTGCATTGAGAAGAAATTTTAAGTGTTATGGAGCTTGGCACCATCGTAAATGGGTTTTAAACAAGGGGTATTCATCAGTTGATCATGAGTTCCGGCTTTTGGATCAGTTTCAAAAGGCTGATTCTAGGAATTTCCATGCATGGAGTTATCGAAGGTGGACTCTCTTTCTTCTTTTAGCTTTTGGTGTAGTACAGTAATTGGTTTTGATTTCTTTCTTTGTCTTTTCAGATTTGTTGCAGCATTGAAAAACATGTCAGAGGAGGAAGAGCTGAAGTATACCACAGACATGATAGAGACCAATTTCAGCAACTATTCTGCATGGCATAATCGTAGGTATAAAAATACAGTTTTGGTTGAAGTTTGAAATTAGAAGTCTACATGCACGATTGGATTATGACAAAGATTTTAGGTCTCAAGCTTTGAACTTGTATGAAAATAATTAGCTTAGGAGTTGGAAGGTGGAGACCTGAGAGCATAATCATTTTCTGGTTGTCCATTTAATGGGGTTCAAGGATTTGAATTTTGACAATATTTTTGCAATGATTGGCAAAGTATTATTTTTGTATTAATGATAAAAAATTATTTTTGTATTTCCTTCTGCTGAATAGTTCTACATGATGTCTGAGTCAAAGTGGACAAATACTGAATTTTCATATACGTGCCCCTTCCTTTGCATTTTTGTATGAAAATTAATTCAATCTAACCTGTAAATAAATTGTAGAAGTAATCCATCAAAGTAAAAAAAAAAAGAGATCAAGACAGATGAACTAGAACCAGTGTACTTTGGCTAACATCTGTTCCATGTTAATCTACAAGATTTCTGTTTCTGAATTTCCATTTCTTTCTATTGGGACATAATGTACTTATCTTCCTTTATCTTCCCTTCTTTATTAGTATGTTAAATTGTTAATGCAGATTTCCAAATCCATCTAAATGAGGTGTTCATGATAGATGGTAGAGCAGTAGCCTGTCAACATAAGGATAAGAAGCTCCGAAAGCCCTCCTTAACAAGTTCTTTTTTTGTCTATTATGAAAATAAAATCATGAAATAAAATACAACACAGAAACTGAAAGATAACATAAATAACAAAATGGTCAAAAGGAGATAAACCACAGGTATCACACCTTTCTTATTCAGACCATTTCACTTTTAGTTGAGACCCAATTAACTGAATTCTGACTATTCTTGAACAAAGTCACTACCTCTGTGAAGTGGCCCCAAATCAATGCTGGTGGCCACCATAGTTGTCAAGGTGACGCCTAGGTGACAAGGCGCCCTTTGAGGCTTGCCTCGCCTAATCGCCAAGCAGTTTTTTACTTTCTACTATAAAATACTTTTTTGTTCATTCTTTTTTGAGATTATAATTATAAAATAGACATTATTAACCTAAAACAATCATTTTGTGTGTTTATATACTAATTTCTTTTTATTATTTTCTTATTTATTAGGGCTTAATCAACACAAACATTGCTAAATGCTGTCTTGAACCCTCAAAGACTCCAAAACCTGAATCAATTAGTAAGGAAGAACTTAAAATTTTATCTAATCAGCACATTTTTTTCTTCTTCTTCTTCTTGTACTACTACTACTACCAATACTTTTTCGTTTCGTCTTTTCCTATAATAAAAAGGGTTCCGCCCCTATATTTTTTGAATTTTATTATCCTTCTTTTTCTTCTCATGAATATGTTGATGTTCTATACGAACTTCATACTTTTCTTAAGAAAATTATGAATAGTTATTAAGGAAATATGGTTATGGTACCTAGGGGACTACCCAAGGATCTATGTTTTTAACATAAAAAAATCCATCGCCTAGGTACTAGGTGACAAGGATCCTCCCTGTCGCCTAGCCTCGCCTTGGCGCCTTGAAAACTATGGTGACCACTGCACACTCCACATGGGCACTCCCACCACAAAAGGCAGAGAAACATTCTGAATGTCTTTATTACATGTATGACATATTAAATTGTAGGCATATAATGAAACTCCCATAATTACATATAGCTGCAGGATTGAACTATTGAAAGTTTACCTTAACAAATCTTCTTTGATGGTCATAATAGACCCAAAAGGCTGACCAGATACAAAAACTACAGTACTAGGGAACTATCTTGGTAACACCAGTAGTCTTATTTTTAATTTTCTTACAGAGAAAGCCCAACAAAGGATTCAAGTTTGCAAGGGCTAAGCTTCTATTCCATTTTGGGAAAACAATTTTGGTTTTGTCAGTATTAGCAGCCATACCTTCTCACCTAATTTACCAAATAGTGTCTGTATTAAGGGCCTGCGAATAGGATCTCGTCACAGGTCGGTCAACGGGGAAAACCTCTTGTTTCCCCTTGTTCCTCCCTTTTCTTGAGGAACCTATCTTTGGCGCCTTAATGGTGATTGTTCAAGAGATCACCAACTCTCCTCTACTCTGTCTTGACTGAGAAATTCGATACCTTTATTGAATATCATTAGCTCCTTTAAATAGGAGATTACAAGAAGATAAGAATCCTACTTTTTGGAGGACTCCCTACTGATCTATACTACTGAATTTAGATAAGAACACATAACAGATAAGACTCCCTACTGATCTATACTACTGAAAACAGATAAGATAGAACACTGAATCAGATAAGATGAGAACACTGGATTAGATAAGATGAGAACTGAATTAGATAAGATGAGAACACCCTTTACTGCTGCTTTCGGCGGCAATACTGCTTCCCTATAAAAAGCGTCCATAACATTACTCCCCTCCCGGACTAAGAGCTTGTCTTCAAGCTCAAATCCAAGAAATGTGTCTTGAAACTTAGTCAAAGGGATCCAGGTAGCTTCGGCCAATGGTAAGCTGGCCCATTCCACCAGGACTTCAAGTACACCTTGATTAATTCTGGAGCGAAAAATAGTCCGAGGTTGGGGAATGAGTTTGCCGTCCTTCAAGGGTGGTAAGGGGGGAACCTTGTCAGGAGGAATACCCAGAAACAGCTTGAGCAAGGAAATGTGGAAGACATCATGGAGCCTACTGTGCTCTGGCAGTTCCAGTTGGTATGCAACCGTACCAATTTGCCGGAAAACCTTGAAAGGTCCATAAAACTTAGGAGCTAATTTAGGAGCAGCCCTGCGGCTCAAGGAGCGCTGTCGATAAGGCTGAAGCTTCAACCAAACAAACTGCCTAGGTTCAAATGGCAGTTCCCGATGATGCTTGTCATAGGCATGCTTCATGCGTAGTTGTGCCTACTGTAAGCGAAGAGAAACTTCAACCAGAAGGGCATCTCACTCTTGTAGGGAACGATCAATCTCCTCCAAACGAGTAGAACCGGGTTCATAGGACAACAAACGAGGAGGTTCACGGCCATAGACGACCCGGAAAGGTGTCATTCCTAGGGAAGAATGATAGGCAGTGTTATAGCAGTACTCGACCCAAGGAAGCCAATCAACCCACCGTCATGGTTGATCCCTAACAAAACAACGGAGATACATTTCGATTGTTCGGTTCATCACCTCAGTTTGACCATCTAATTGAGGATGAAAAGCGGAAGAAAGAGCTAAAGTGGTACCATGTAACCGAAACAATTCCCTCCAGAAGGTACTAGTAAAAACCGGGTCCCTGTTGCAGACAATCGATTCCGGTAACCCGTGTAAACGGAAAATGTGGGTGAAAAAGATGTGGGCGACAGAAGTAGCACTGTACGGATGTGACAGAGGAATGAAATGGGCATACTTAGAGAAGCGGTCCACCACCACGTAAAGAACCGATTTCCCCCCAACTTTGGGTAGTCCCTCTATGAAATCCATGGAGATATCGGCCCATATTTGTGCTGGGATCGAAAGGGGCTGAAGAAGGCCAGCGGGATGCAGATTTTCCCATTTGTATTGTTGACAAGTAGAGCAGTTTTGGATAAAGTCCCTAATAGAAGCTTTCATACCTTGCCAATGGAAATCTGCTTGGACGCGATACAGTGTCTTTTGAATGCCTTAATGGGTGGAGTTATGAATACCGGAGATGATGAAGGGAATTAGAGGGGAATCGGCTGGAAGATGCGCCCGACCTTTATACATCACAAGCCTGTCTTGAAGGGACCAATTGGGGTTGGCAGTTCTGGTCTGAATTTGCTGAACAAGGGTCGTCCACTCCGTTGATTGTGGCATCACCTTCTTGATGTCGTCTAATAAGGTGACTTGTGGTCGTGAAATCCCACAAAGAAGCATAGTGTCCTCGTCACGCCTAGATAATGCATCCGCGACGCGATTTAAAGATCCCACCTTGTAATCGACTTGAAAATCAAACCCAAGTAGCTTGCTAATCCAATGTTGTTGGGGAGAAGTGGTAAGATGCTGCTCCAACAAGTACTTGAGGCTATAGTGATCAGTTTTGATGACAAATGACCTTCCCCACAAGTATGGACGCCAGTGTTGGACTGCTCTAGCTAACCCGATCAATTCGCACTCATAGGCTGGCAATTTTAAATGACGATCAGCAAGTTTACGGCTGAAGAAGGCAATCGGGTGCCCTTGTTGCTGTAGTACGGCACCAATCCCTATGCCGGATGCATCGCACTCAACTGTAAACTCGAGATCAAAGTTCGGTAATTGCAGAACTGGAGTGGTGGAGAGGGCATCCCTTAAACTTGCAAAAGCCGCATCGGCTGCGTCGTCCCAATGAAAGGCATTCTTCTTCAGTAGGTTAGTTAATGGGGCAGCCAACAAGCCATAATTCTGTACAAATTTGCAGCAATATCCCGTCAAACCGAGGAAACCGCGGAGGGCCTTGGCGGATTTGGGCCTGGGCCATTCCTTGATTGCTTGAATTTTGGAACTGTCTACCGTTACACCTTGCCCGTTAATGACATGACCCAAGTAAAGAACCTAGCGCTCCCCAAAGGAGCACTTGGACCGTTTAAGGAAGAGCTTGTGTTGGCGCAGGAGCTCAAAAACAATCCTCAAATGATGCACATGTTCTATCCAAGTTTTACTGTAGACTAAAATGTCGTCAAAGAACACAAAAACAAATTTGCGAAGGTGGGACTGAAATACCTCATTCATCAAGGATTGGAATGTGGATGGGACGTTTGTGAGACCGAACGACATAACTAAAAACTCAAAGTGGCCATGATGAGTTCTGAAGGCAGTCTTCTCAACGTCTTCGGAAGCCATTCGAACCTAAAAGTATCCCGACCTTAGGTCTAGTTTGGAGAAATATTGGGCACCATGAAGTTCATCCAACAACTCGTCCACAATGGGAATAGGGAATTTATCCTTGACAGTCCGGTTATTGAGTTCTCTGTAGTCAACACAAAATCTCCAAGTGCCATCCCGCTTTGCCACCAACAGGACTGGCGAGGAGAAAGGAGAACGACTAAGGCGGATGATCCCTTGCTTCATCATTTCAGCACATTGCTTCTCAATCTCGTCTTTCTGCAGATGTGGGTAGCGATAAGGTCGGACGACAACTGGTTTGGAGCCCGTCACCAGAGGGATCCGGTGATCGCAAGCTTGGGAAGGAGGAAGTCCCTTGGGTTCTTGTAACACGTCTGAAAAATCGGCGAGGAGCCTTTCCATGGTTGTTGCCTGCGTCATCTCACCTTGGAGCACATGTACCTGTGGGTTTTTAGCCTTTACCACGTTACCCTGCCAAGTGACTTGCTTCCCGTTTAAGCGGAATGTCATTGATAGGGCGCTGAAATCCCATAGGATTGGACCCAGGGTGATCAACCACTTTACCTTAAGAACTATATCAAATCCATCCAAGGATAGCACAAACAAATCAACAAAGAAAGATTCAGAATTGACCTGTATTTGGACGTCCTTACAGATGCCCGGGCTGTGTACACTTTCACCGTTTGCTACGGCTACCTGCAGTCATGGTTTGACTTCCATTGGCAGCTTCAGCCGGAGGGCAGCTTGCTTGCTTACAAAATTGTGTGTGCTTCCTGAATCAACGAGGATCAGTACCGGTTTTCCCGCTACCCGCGCTTGCAATTGCATAGTTTGAGAGGTTTTTATTCCTGTGATCGCGTGGAGAGAAATCTCGGGTTCTAACGAAGAGGGTACATCCTCGTCCTCCTCTTGCTCATCCACCAGGAGGCAGAATAGTCTCTTGCACCTGTGTCCCGCCGAATAGAGATCGTCACAGTTGAAACACCGTCCCCTCGCCCGACGTTCTACCATCTCTGCCCTAGACAAGCGCTTAATGGGGGGTGCCACCACGCTACTTCCCACACTGGCCGATCTGGAAACATTGCTTGTATGTGACTTCTGTTCTCGGCTGGCTGCAGAAGATGGGGCCGTACCAAGTGTTTTCGGGGATGCCCATGTTGTCGGAGGCCGCCCCATACTGAAGGTTCCGCGGCTGAGTTGCAGCTTGCGCTCAAAAGCGCGAGCCAGATTCATAGCCGTAACCAGGTTGGGGGGATTTTGCATCTCCACATCCACCCTCAAGGTTTCGGCTAACCCTGCGGTGAACATGTCAACCTGCTGGTCTAGTCGTACCGATGATGCTCTTGCAAGGAGGGTCTGAAACTGACGCTGGTACTCAGCCATCGTTCCCGTCCGTTTGAGGTTGATTAATTCACCTAATGGGTTGCTTGTTAATGGGGGCCCAAATCTGAGTAGGTAGTAGGATTTGAATTGGGTCCAATTGAGCCCGGGTTCCTCCTGCTCTAATCTATAAAACCAGAGCTACGCCTCCTTCGTCATGTGGAATGCGGCCAAGCTTACCTTGTCTCTGTCCACTGTTCGTTGGTTGCGGAAGAACTGCTCACATCTGTACAACCATCCCAACGGATCTCCAACACCATTATAGGAAGGGAACTCCAGCCTGCTGTATTTGGGAACGATCGCGGCTCCCTGGGCGACGACCTGCCGCTCGCCGGACGATTCTGCCATGTCTGGTTGGCGGCCGTTTGTGGTTGCAGCCCCTTTTGGATTCCTTTCCTTGCTAGAAAAATAGAGCTCTATCATGCGCCTTAATTCTCGGACGTCTTCCTTGATCTCGCGCACCTCCATGCTGTTTTCCACGAGCTTGTGCTCCAGTTCATGAACCCTAGTCGTCAACTGCTCAAGGTCACCCATGACACCTTGGCTCTGATACCAAATTGTTAAGGGCCCGCGAATAGGATCTCGTCACAGGTCGGTCAACGGGGAAAACCTCTTGTTTCCCCTTGCTCCTCCCTTTTCTTGAGGAACCTATCTTTGGCGCCTTAATGGTGATTGTTCAAGAGATCACCAACTCTCCTCTACTCTGTCTTGACTGAGAAATTCGATGCCTTTATTGAATATCATTAGCTCCTTTAAATAGGAGATTACAAGAAGATAAGAATCCTACTTTTTGGAGGACTCCCTACTGATCTATACTACTGAAACACATAACAGATAAGACTCCCTACTGATCTATACTACTGAAAACAGATAAGATAGAACACTGAATTAGATAAGATGAGAACACTAAGATGAGAACACTAGATTAGATAAGATGAGAACTGAATTAGATAAGATGAGAACACCCTTTACTGCTGCTTCGGCGGCGATACTGCTTCCCAATAAAAGCGTCCATAACATACTGATATGTTAGAACTGAGTAGACATTTCTTATTGACTAATGGTTAGGACAAGCGGAGAATTCACACCATTCCATTGGTAGTAGTTACTCAATTTATTTAAGCTGCGGGGTTAGGAGTGAAATTGCTGCAAATGCAGAAAATAGCTTTGCTTACTGGTTTATCATGGAGGATTTTCCAGAATCTATTCCTCTTAATCACAAATTATGCTTACTAATTATTGCAGGGATTCTGTTATAAAGGTACGAAAATCTCCACCCAGCTTTTGGTGCTGTAAGGGAATCCTATTGGGAGAGAACATGCTAAACAAAGGATTTAAATGGTGTCTAGGGGATGGCACCCATGTGGATGTATGGTCTGACCCGTGATCCCTGGGTAAAAGATATACCATTAGAAAAGTTTTCCATACAATCGATACCACATCATCATAAAACGATTGTAAGGGACATTATTAATTATTTACCTTATAACTGGGACTTGGGAGATTGGGAATGTTGAACAATATTCCAAAGGTTAGGACCATATTCAGTTTACCATTCCCATGACCCCAGATAGCTGGAACCAACATTGGATAATGGCCTTTTACCTGCCTGACGTGATATACAAAGTATTCTAAAAGACTGATTACCTGCAATCCTGAGGCTGTAGGTGGCATAGTTTGGCACCACCATAAATTAGGAAAAGTAACCAGTAAGTCAGTCTATGATTGGATTGTTAAAGGTGATAACACCCAGACAATGAAGTGGTGAAGGCTGTGGAGGCTTCCATGCTGGCAAAGGATCAGAAAATTTTTTCTTTTTGTTTCCACCAAAAACAGAATTTCCACTAAAGATGTGCTGGCTCAGCAGGGCATGAAATTAGTCAAATCTTTACTTTTATGTCAAGGTGGATGCGAGACTACCCATATTTTGAAAGCAAGCACAACTAAACTTGAAGTTAGAGTCTGAGGGAAGTTCTGAAGGGAGGAAGTTAATCCTGGTATCATTTTGTCCATGGGCAATGTAGATTGCTTGACAGACCATGCAGATACTCTTAGTCTCTTACTACCCAATAATACTCCACAAGATGCTGGAAACCTGTGGGCGGAATTGCATAAAATCCATTAGCAGGGGCATACAGTAACTCAAAATTATGGCGGACTAGAGCCCAAGCAATTCTGTCCCTCGCATTGCTGTTATTTTCGTTGTATTAGTTGAGCGGCATGTGAAAATGTATGTGCAAGAAAAGAGAGAGGAAGGGAGAGAGAATGAGTAGAGCAAGGAGAGAAAAATAAAAGGTTTAGATTTTTCACATGGTGGTCTGGATTTGAAATCAAGGTAAGTATCAGCATATAGTAAAGAATCAAGATCTGCATTGACAACACAGGGAGTTGTTTTTAGCACTAGTGCCTTTGAGAATAGAACCAGAGGCATGTTTGTTGCTTTCACAGCTATGGTACTCTGCCTTCAGGCCCTTCACCATGTTTGCTTTTATGGAAGGCCTCAGAGGTGGCAAGATGGCATCTCCATTCAGTCCTTGAAACCAAATCAAGGCACGTACTTCCTGTGATGGACAGATTCCAAACCCCATTGTCTTGGCTATGGTCCTTTTCCTGCCTCGGTAAATTCTGTAGCAGCATAGAAACTAGACTTTCTGGACCCTTCTTTGTAAAGAGGGATTGGCTATTAGTGATTCAGGGTCCAGCATAAACATTTTACTTATCTAGTTCCATGGACATAGAAAACTTGGTTTAATTAATGGCAAGGAACACATGATTAATTGACAAAAAAAAGGAACACATGATTAATTTGAAGTGAACTTAAAACCAATAAAAGGTATAAGGGGAGTATTTAGAGATGAAAATGGCAGAATTGTGGCTATGTTTTCTGGGCCAATAGGAGTGGGGGACTCATTGAGAGCGGAGGTGATGGCCTTGCTTCAAGGTGTAAGATATGCCAAACAATTGGGGTTACACCAAATTGAGATAGAGGGAGACTCTAAATTGTTGATTGATTGGCCGCAATCAGGGAAGTTGGGAGCCGGGATTTATAGACAGACCATAAGGGAAATCCTCAATACAACAAGGGAGATTGGTGCTTGTTTCAAATGGACAAGGAGATCAGCTAATGGTTTAGCTGATACGTTGGCTAAACAAGGGACTGTGAGGGAGAGAATGTTCTGGGCAGTTTTGTAACAAAGATAACTGGGGACACAACACCTGTTTAGGGGTTGACAGTTGTACTTGATTCTGGAAAGTTGTACTTAATTTTGTATTAATTAAATTACCGTTTCCAATAAAAGAAATTGAAGTTCACATTTTCTTGAATTAATGCCAGAAAAAGGAAAGCAGCCATATTTGCTTTTTAAAATTTCATTTCTGTTGCTAACTTGCTACATTGTTATAGAATCTATAAAATGATATTTAATTGCTTTGGATGGAAGTTTTTCTTCTATGATGTCTTTATTGCTTTGTGCTATGCGGCTTTTATGACATATGCTCAACTAAGAGGCTTCTGCAGTGTTCTTCTGTCCCATTTGCTGAAGCAGAAGATTGAAGGATTTACTCCAAGAGAGAAAGTTCTGACAGAAGAATATGAGCTTGTGCACCAAGCCCTCTTTACAGATCCAGATGACCAAAGTGGGTGGTTTTATCATTTTTGGCTTCTGGATCAAACAGTTACACCAGGTGCTCCCGTACTGGTTTCTTCTTGGCCTGCTCATGGTTCAGATCTGTTTGTATCCTTCAAGGGGAACTTGGATGGTGGTGTTTCATCTTCATTCACAAGCTTCTGTTCAGATAAAGGGGCTTTTCCACTAATTATTTATTTTAATCAATCAGTTGGAGGAATAAATTCGTCTACAGTAACTGTTAAGCACTTGTTTGATAAGAATGAAGATCTTATCTGGGTGCCACTTGCTACAAACAACTCAGGAAATGCCCAAGCTTGGGTAACATTTCTGAGATTTCCTGATGTGAAAGATGATTCTTTGAAAGCTTATCCAGTTGAGGTTAAAGTTGGTCACTCTCAATGTGCATTTACAGTGAGTTTACGTTCTATTGATTCAAAACATGGTGAAGGAGGATCTGACATGGAGATGATTGTTTGGAAGGATGACAGTTTTCATGCAAGTGAACCTCTTCTTCTAAGCCCTCCTGTTGTTTCTCTTGATCAAGCAACTACCAACAAGGAACCTGAGCAGATAGATTCTAGATGGCATGAGGAGACTCTAGCTAATGAGATTGCTCTCTTTCAGGAGTTGTTGTCAGAGATAAACTGGTATGCATTATGCATTTTTATGGGTTTCTGACTGAGAACTACAAATACTGTTTCTGTCTTCATTCAACTCCATCTTACATTTTCTTTTCCTTTTCTGCCTTTTCATAGTAAAATTGGGAAGCTTACACTTGCACGGTTATTAAGGGCACATGATAAAATGATTTATAAAATGCCATTTGCCGATGAGAAGACTCATTCTAAAGAAGTTCTTGATCTATTTAGCGACTTGATGAAGTTAGACCCATCTCATTCTAGATATTACAAGGATGAGCACAGCCTAGTCCTGATGGAGCAGGTCTCTCTCTCTCTCTCTCTCTCTCTCTCCGCATTGTTGTATTCCCAAATGTTCATTATTTGATTCATCATGTTGCATAGGCATGATATTTTTCTTAAATTTCTTTGAGTATGGAAATCAAGATGGAATTGGGTCTTCTGGACTGCTCTGCAAGATGTACTTTTGTCTATTGACTAATGGGATGCTTCTATCATGTAATGGAGCTTGCTGACCTTTAAGTGGAAATAAGTTAATGTGTAAGCTGCTAAAATGCCATTTTTGCTCAAACTTTCTAAAAGAAACAAGTGGATTTTTTTTCTTGAAAATTAAGATTTCATTAGAAAGAGTTAGATTCCTTCAATAGCATTGGTTATGACCATTCCTTTAGATCTCAGATTCTCTATTGTGAGAATTTTTTCCTTTGATGTCCATCCAGACAAAAAAAAGTCACCTTAGATGGAATCTTGAGCTTTCAAATCCATCACCATGCTGTTACATGTCATATGGGCTGTGTTGGGCCCACCACTGTCATTGTTGAGTTACGTGATTTGTTATACATGAGATCACGTTGTTAGTAGTTGTTAGAATCAGTTATCAGAGTTGTGTGGTGTTACGCTTGTATTGGTTTAAAAGGAGTCATGGATTAGTAGGAGTTTATATATATTCTTGTAATGGTCATTTTAAAGGCCATGAATGGAAGAATTTTATCCTTAACCATTATGTTTTCTATTCGAGGTCTCTTGTCTCCCTCGAAGCAGACGAAAACAGCGCTTACTTCCTGGTGTGACTGTAATATTTTGTTAGAGTCGGTTATGAATCCCGATTTTGAACACCGACTTGTCCAACTGCAAGGAAGGGTTCAATTGTTGGTGGTGAACTAAGAGAAGCTGAAGGAGAGAATGACCCAAATGTTTGAGGCCCCTCTTTGCTCGTCTCAATCAATTGGAAGCATCCTATAAACCTTATGGGTCCAGTCTCTCTACTGTTCACACTTCTAGCCACCATTTGAATGAGATGATGACGGCAACAACGATAAAGCCGTTATGCCCTCACCTTGCAGGTTCAACCAATCTATTGTTGATGCTTCCATCCACCATAATTCCCTCACCGATGTGAAAGAGACACTAGTGACTGATGGTGTGATCTTCTACTCTACATTGAAGGATATGAAACACCTGCATCCAGAACCTGAACCGGTGAAGCAGCTAGAGTCGGAACAGGCACCGGATCCAATGGATCTTACAGAGAAAGAGATGGGGGTGGTAAATGCAGCTTGCAAGGTTTTTTTTTGATTGGAATGCAAGAAAAAAGATTTTGGGACAGAATTCGACCATTCTGATTCTGTAATGGTTGTTTCTTCTTGCCATTTGAAAAAAAAACAGGTTCTTAACCTCTTTCTGCAGTTACCACTCTCAACAACAAAACCAGCAGTTAATCCTTATTCCATTCTCTGAACAATTACAACAAAAGAAATTTCTAGAATCTAAATTTGTTCTTATTCTTCATGGCTGCAATGATGTCATTTGAGAGCTACGACATACTTTGAAGCTATCACAAGAACGAATGCAGCTTGTAGCTGGTTGCAAGAGAAAGGAACTCAAGTTCAAAGCCACGGTTGGGTTTACTTACGACCCCATCCATATAAACTAGCATCTCTATCCCTCTGATGAGACGCCAAGTTAGCTCCCAAGTTTTACAGATACTTCCAGGTGGATAAGAAGATTGGCACAGTAGTGTATCACCGTAAGTTATGTGAGGTCCTCAGGAATCCACCCTGCCTTTCACACATTGCAGTTAAAGCCTGCATTTGGGGTTCATCAGGTGGTCCATGTTGAGTTACCGGCAACATGGGAGAAAGATGGATCGTTAATTCCTAAACCACAGGCTGTGCTGGATCGTCGAGTTCCCAAAAGGAAGTGGGAAATACTGGTGCACTGGCAAAGATTAGCCATTGCTGAAGCATATTGGGAAACCGAAGATGAATTCAAATTGAGATTCTCAGATTTTGTCCTTGAGGACAAGGACACTACTCAGGGGGAAGCAATCATCATGTGTAGGGCTCCTGTATCATGCATGCAAGCAACTGTTAGGAGGATGAAGCAACGTGCAAGGTGGACCAGGCTATATGCACAGTGGACAATGGGGAAAGATTGCTTGTGATATCCAGTGGGTTGGTTACAAATAGCATCCTTGTTTGCAAGAAATAAGGGCCCATAGCCCACTATCGTAGGAGAGTCCAGCTAAAGGTTGTTGTTAACTTGTTAGTGGGTCAGTGTAAATTCAGTTGTGGGATGTAACCGGGAGGCTTTTTCCTTGGGGACAAGGTCAAAATTTAAGGGGAAGGGAATGTTACGTGTCATGTGGGCTATGTTGGGCCCACCACTGTTATTGGTTGAGTTATGTGATTTGTTATACATGAAATCACGTTGTTAGTAGTGGTCAATCTTGTTAGTAGTTGTTAGAGTCAGTTATCAGGGTTGTGTGGTGTCACATATGTATTGGTTCAAAAGGAGTCATGGGTTAGTAGGATATATATATATATATATTCTTAGGGAAAATCTATGATACGGGGAAGATATGATATGGAAAGAGTTTTGACCAATCAAAATCCACCCATGAATTTTGATAAATGATACCTGATTCGCCACCACGTTTATGATTCCAATTTATTGGTGAGTTGTTTTTCTGATATCATATCTTTTCCATATCATAGTCAAACCCATATTCTTAACCATGAATTGAAGAATTTTATCCCTAACCATTACAGTTTTTATTGGAGGTTTCTCTCTCTATCGAAGTAGATGGATTTCACATTACATCCCAGCTAGGAACATAACACATGCAAAGTATCTATAGCAATCCAAAAGTCCCAAAAAATTTCTATCATGTTCCTTTCTTTTTAGATCCCTCAACAAATGCAAAGACAAAATGAGGCTGTGGAAGATATTTGCCTTAAAATTTTGAGAAAAGGATGGTCAATTTGAAAAGATCTCATTAGAGATTCAATTGGTTGAAACATTTCATCCTAATTAAAAAGAAAGACCATAAGATTAAAATATTATTGCAATTACTAGAGATTGCAAATTGACTGGCCGTGTAGAATCCCTTCCCTGTGAAATGGTTAATAGTCAATATGCTGTCTAGCACTATATGTTGTTAATTGGGAAAGTTGAGTTATTCTGTCACGCCACTTTGGGATTTGAGGCCAACATGAAGATTTGAGATGGAAAATCCAATCTCTCCATCTGATACCAGACCTGAATTAGTGATGTGCATATTTTCCTCTTTTCCTCTCTACATTAACCCCTTACAGTTATTTAAATAAAACCTTATCAAACTATGGCATTTTTTTTTGAGCAAAGGTAAGGTATAGTTGTATGTAAAAGGTCCTTTGTACAATGAGTAGCTGTACAAAACAAGCCAGAAGGACCTCAAAAAAAGGTCATCCTCAAAAAAGTACAATCAGAAGTATCCTCTTTAAAATCAGTATGTATAGATGACTAATTTCTAACAAATCCTAAAGCCATATTGATGACCTCAACTTCAGTGGAGGATTTGAGATAAAAACCCTTCTATTCCTTTCTGTCCATACCGCCCACATAATTGGCAAAGGAATGGAGGACCAGAAAATCTTTCCTTAGTCATCCCTTGAATATGCCAAGCCTCCAGGCAAGCTTTAACTGAGGCAGGCATACACCAACTTAACTTCAAACTGCTTAAGAAGTAGTTCAGGATCTCTGTGACAAAGTTGCAATGTAAAAACAGATGGTTGACTGATTCTGTATTCACACCACAAAAGTTGCACCTCAGGTCATTACAGTTGTAACCTTTCTTCACCAGCATCTCTTTGGAAAGACACTTATCTAAAGCTGCCACCCATACAAAAAATTTGACTTCTGAGGGTGCCACTGTCCCCCAAATGGCCTGTCTAGGGAAGAGGGCTTCAAATCCTCTCACTATGAAGCTGTAAAAGTTTTTTACTGAAAACTCTCCATTTCTGTCCCATTTCCACACTAAAGAATCCTCAGATTGCAAATTCAACACCTGAGAATGAAGCAGTGCTAACTGCTAAGAGATTTCCTACCTGTTGAATCTTCCAGTCATTAAAATCCCTTCTAAAGGATGGAACCCAACAGATAGCATTATCCCTCATCACAAAAGTATCAGCTACCATTGCCTCTTTATCTTCAGCCAAATTAAACAGGGTGGGAAACAACTCCTTAAGGGAATACTCCCCAGTCCAGGAATCCAACCAGAACCTGATCCTTATCCCATCCTCTATTTTAAAACCGATTCCCCTTCTGAACAGGTTTGAAGCTCTGCAGATTCCTTTCCACAAACTACACCATAGGTTGGCAGGGGTGGAAGCTCTGCAGATTCCTTTCCACAAACTACACCACAGGTTTGAAGCTCTGCAGATTCCTTTCCACAAACTACACCATAGGTTGGCAGGGGTGGAAGCTCTGCAGATTCCTTTCCACAAACTACACCACAGGTTTGAAGCTCTGCAGATTCCTTTCCACAAACTACACCACAGGTTTGAAGCTCTGCAGATTCCTTTCCACAAACTACACCATAGGTTGGCAGGGGTGGACCACTTCCCCATCCACTGTCATCCATCCCATATTTTTCTGCTACTACTTTCCTCCAAAGGTTGTCAGGTTCAGCATCAAACCTCCACAGCCAACTTCCTAGAAGAAAAAACTAGGTTGAAAGATTTTAATTTCCTTATCCCCAACCCCCCTTGTGATAGGGCTTTACAAATCTGACCCCAGTTTACAAGATGGTATTTGTGTGAGTACTACCTTCCATCTCACCCACAAAAAATCCCTCATCTTTTTTTTTTTCTAAAACCTCCACCAACTCTGAGGGGATTGGGAATAGAGTCATGAAGTACGTTGACAAACTTGCTAAGGCACTCTTGATAGAGTTACCTTCCCACCTTTGGAGAGATACCTTGCTTTCCAAGTGGCCAATTTCTGATCCATCCTTTCTAATATTGGGTTCCATATGGCTTTAGAAGTGCATTTGGCTGCCAATGGCAACCCAAATAGTTTGAAGGTAGCTGACCAACCTTGTAACCCGACAAATTTGCCAGACCCTGAATGTTAGAGACCTCTCTCATTTCACATTTGGCTAGGTTTACTTTCAGGCCTGACACAATCTCGAACCAGATAGAAGATGCTTCAGATTAAGGATTTGCTCCTCTGATGCCTTACAGAAGAAGAGTATAAATCAGCATATTGCAGGATTGGAATAGCAGTCCCATTGAGCTTCACATTGGAAACCTTCCACCAGCTCCCTCTCCACAGCTCTATCAAACTGTAACATTAAATTTCTCTTTTATGAATTATAGGGGTATAACTTTGAAGGAGATTCAAAACTGGTCATATCCTGGACTAGGCAAATTAATTCAGCAGCTTAGAATTGTAGACATGCTTTCAGGGAAATTGACTACCTAGCAAAGGAAATCAATCCTAATTTGAGCTGGGTTAGAAGAAATGCAAATGGGGTGGCAGATGTACTAGCAAAACAATGGGTCGTTAGACCTCAGTTGTTTTGGGTGGGGAATCTGATGTAACTAGGGATTGGGTTGGATTGAGAGGGTACCTCAACCCTAGCCCAATCCAACCCAATCCTCAAGCAGAAGAGCCCAACCTAGGTGCAATCTGACTGTAGGATAAGTAACCCTAGCCAACTTGGGCAACCTGGTTTTCATAATTGCATTCGGTTTGTCAGATCAAGTTAACTCGACGAATGCAAGATAAAAAAAATCTCAATATTGTTTTGTGTTATGGCTTTTTTTTTCCACTTAATTGTGTTATGACTTTTTACATCTCATTAAGACTAAAATTACATAAACATTTAGTAGTACTCAAAGATATTAACACATGATACATATAAATATAATAAAATATAATATATAAACATACACGGGAATCAGGTTCAGATTGCCTGAGGCCTCAATCCTAATCCAACCCATCCAAAATCGTCTTGACTTCAACATGGTTTTAACCAATGTGATTTCTGAAAACCCCAACCAATCAGGTCCAAAATTGGGTTGGGGCAATTAGGTTTCAGGTTGATCTGCTCCAAATTGCAACCCTAACTGGCCCCTAAAATAAAATGCGAGGTGGGAAAATAAGCCTATCTTGTCACATTACAGAGGGGGATATTGAGCTTCTTATTTCTGTATGGAAAGAGGGTAACATGGGAAAAGTTGTGATCCATTTTGGGCTGCTACCTCAGCTATGACATGTAAAAACTGTGTATAAACAAGGTTCCAGCTTGTTCTGACTAAATAACTGTCCTGGCTTCTTTTGCTTACTCTTTCAATTTCAAACCTGGGGACTGTATCCTCAATTAGGAAACATATAATTTCCTCTTTCTTTTAATAAGTATGTGTCCAACCTGCCAATGTAACAAGATGTAGTAGTCACCTATTATACCCTGATAAGATGTGATTGGAAAATTCTCATAGTTGTGTTATTCTTCAGGTGGTTTCCAATAGAGAGTCTTTGCTGACATACTGCTGGAAATACGGAGAAGCACATCCTTCATATCTATGTAACCCTATCTGCCTGCGACTCAGTAAATTATCATTATCAAGAATTGGTTCTTTTGAGAATTTATTATGGGTCCAAATGCTAGATCTCAGCCACAATGAACTTTGGTCAATTGAAGGTAACACTACTTCATTGGAGTCTTTGGATTGCATCTTCTGTTTTTCCTCTTTTTCCCATTAATAAAACTTTACTATGTTGCCAATGAAAGAAAAAAAAAGGAAAAAATAGTAATTTCTATCACAACCAAGTTTTAAAATGTTGGTGCGGGTGGAAATGCCGATCAATCAAATATAGGAAACATGTCTGAAATGTTGGAAATATCATATGGAAATGTTGTAAAAATTATAGACATGGTGGAAACATTGTAAAATATGCAAAAATATAGAATGATATTTTATGAAATGATAAAAGAAGCATAGACACACCTTGTTAAATTATTATCTTGTTCCAAATCATTAAACAAGGCCAAGAAACTAAGGTTATAGACAAAAGAATATGTTCTGAAGTTGTTGTAAACCTTAAGACTCAAAACTTCATGATAGAATCAGTTAAAGCAAAATTTGAACTCATAGAAAATGTAAATGAATGTAATAGATCAACTAAATAATCCATTACATAAAAAAACTAATATTTAACTTCATGATTGAAATGAATACTTTGGACCATTTTGGACCAATCCAATTCAATGTTTGGGCTGTCCAATCTGTTCAAATTGGTTTTAATTTAGATTGGTTCCAATCCAAACTTGGTCCATTGACACCTGTATTCTTATCTTCTATTAATGGACCGAATATCAGTTCAGTTGGACCCAATCCAGTATAAATCCATAATGGATGGACCGGGTCCAGTCCAATCCAATAAATTATTTGGACCATTAAGTTTGGAATGGTCCAATTCAGTATGTCTCATTGGTCCATCCAATCTGTTCAAATTGATTTTGATTTGAACGGGGTCCAATCCAAAACCGGTCCATTAACACCGCTAGTCTACTTTACCTACTTATTATCTCTCATTGTTGAAGATTCCTTGAAGTGGCCAACAAGATAAAGAAGATTCAGAGGGACTTTCTTTGGGAAGGCTCCAATTGAACTAAGAAGTTTCATTTAGTAAAGTGGGTTCTTAGCCCTACATTAGAGAAGAGAAGAAGAGAAGAAGAGAGAAGAGAGAAGAGAAGAAGAGAGAAGAGAAGAGGAAGTTCGAGGAGAAAAATGGGCAGTAACTTATGTCTCTCCAGCCCCTTGGTGTTATTTAAATGAGAACACTACATAAATACAATGACTTGTAGTAATTTTCTAAGAGTGGTATTCCATTTCTGTGTTAGTTTAATGTAAACTTTTGAAGTTTCTTTGTTAGCAGGAAGGAGGGGTTTGTTCTCTGTTCTGTGAAAGAAAATAACAGCTTGTCTATGTGTAGGTATGGCACTGTGAAGATGGTCCAAGTTCTGGAGGTAGAGTATAGGATGCTAGGAAGAACAGGGCGTCAAGGACGAGACTGGATTGGGATGATGAGAACAGAACTTTGTAGATAATTTTACGAGTGTAACATCCATTCTCTCCATTCTTATGAGTGTAACATCCATTCTCTCCATTGATTGAAGGGAGTGAAGGTGCTTTCATTGAGAGATCTCCTATCAACTTTGTAGATAATTTTGCTTGCCCCGTTATTTTGTTTCGAGGGCTGGATGACAAGGTATACAGTTCGATCCTTGCTATTCTGATTATACTTGTTGTTTGGCACAATATCTAGGAAAGAGAGATTGAAACCTAGAGGGTTTATTGTTCTGTAGCATTGGTTGGTTTATGGAAATTGTAATGAGTTCTGTAGCATTGTAATGAGGACCTCTTGATGGAGGGCGAGAGAGGATTCAGAGCAGTAGGAAGATGGAGGTCTGAGGTGTCGATCGAAGCCAAGACGTTCAAGTTCGAAGAGGAAAGGACCAAAGGCAAGGTTGTACTGAAAATAAGAGAGAATAACAGGGCGACAGTGTTGGTGTCAAAGGAGGTTATAGCATGGATGAAAGGTTTCATAGATGGGGCTATCAACTCTGGTAAGGTGAATGGTTGGAAAAATTCCATGTCAGTTCCAGGCAAGAGATATGTAACAGAACTGAATAGAAACAAGAANGATGGGGCTATCAACTCTGGTAAGGTGAATGGTTGGAAAAATTCCATGTCAGTTCCAGGCAAGAGATATGTAACAGAACTGAATAGAAACAAGAAAGGGTGGTTCGTCACTGTGGTGGAGTTTTTTTGGAACAAATGAAAAACAAATGCTTTGTGTGCCGGAAGGGAGATTGCAGAAAAGGGTGGATGGCTTTTGTGCAGGTGCTGCAGTCTTACCTTGTAGCTTCGGAAGAGAAGGGAGTGGATGGAGGGAAGGCAACTGGCTAAAAGCTTGAAGACCAGAGTCAAAAAACTCAGGAGGAGGCATCATTGATTGGTACCTCTGGGAGTATAGAAGTGCAAGGCCATTTGATTCCTGAAATGGTGGTTGCTTGCTCTTCTATTCATCGAAGAATATTGGTAGGAGTGGGGAAGGAGGAATGGAAGAAAAGAATGGTGTTAGTGGCTG